TCGGACTTACAGTGTAACGAATTATATAAGTGTCGCATTGGATAGTTTTCATTGTACTATACATTCGCAAATGAATATTGATGATGGTAAGACTTCATCTTATTTGTCACACATTTTTTGATATTATTTCTGATTCAGAGACATTAAAATATCCAAATATTAATTTAAAACAGATTTGATACATTCCGTGAGTACACTTGGGCATTTATACAAATGTGGTTATTGTTAACTGACAAAACATAATCGATGTATCTGGATGCCGAATTGAAGGTCTATTCTCATATTTGAGCCTTTTTAAAACAAATTCTTATTCATTAAGGAATGAAGCTTATTTCAACTTATGTTATACGATATAACATAACAAGGGGCGTTTACGCTTTATAAACCGCGAAGCTGTTTATAAACAAAATCGTAAACTGCCCCAAGTTATGTAATATCGTATAACATAAGTTGAAATAAGCTTCATTCCTTATAATTTAATTTCAGTATAGACAATGTGACAATTTTTCCAGAAAAAGGATTCAAATTGAGCATATTTAAAAGTAACATCAAGCGGAGTAATACATTTTGACGTAACTCATTGTGACGTAGGAGACTTGTGTTATATACGAAATGGATTAAATCTTTTACCAAATCCAATGACGTGTTACAACTAATATTAAAATTAATTATTTACGGAATGAAGCTTATTTCAACTTTTGTTATACGATATAACATAACTTCGACAGATTACGCTTAATAAACTGCGAAGCGGTTTATAAAAAAGCGTAAACTGCCCCAAGTCATCTGCCCTTATCATTTAATTTCAATGCAGACAATGAGACAATTTTCCCATTTTTTTTTCCTTCAGAAAGAGGCTTCAAATATCGCATATTTTAAAAGTTAACATCAAGAGGAGTAATACGTTTTTGACGTAACTCATTGTGACCTAGGCAATTTATGTTATACAAAATGGATAAAACCGTTTAATCAATCAAATGACGTGCACGTGTTACAACTAAAATTAAATTATTGGGATATATATATATAAAAAAAAAAACATGTTGGCTAATGAAGGGGCACGTAATGGATATCTAAATCCTGGCAGAATTTTAGAAGTCTTGGTCTGCATTGACCAAAGACTTCATAGTTGCTGGACAATTTTGTAGATGACGAATTTCAGTCAATGAATATTTAAGAGTTTCAATTTTATCGAAGAATCAGTAGTCTATAATATAAAAAAAATACTGCCTTTTAATTTTGTAGAAAGGGTAGAAAAATTCTTCGTTTTATTGTATCTGAAATACTGATGTTTTATTTTGTAAAAGTTCTTCAAAGTTTTTAAGAATCCATATCTGAATAACACCATTTTTAGAATATGGTGATGCATAATGTCATTTCTTTCCTTTTCAACATTTCTTAAGAAGTCAAAAAGATCTAGACTGTACAATTGATTGAACAAGGTAAGATCACTTGAACTTCAGCCAGTTTTTTTCCTCTAATCAATTAAACTAAATATAGATTCTACTTCAAATAGATTTGAATTTATTCTATTTTTACCATAAAAATTTAGGTCTGTGATTGCAGTTCATATGATACTGAATTATTTTAGTGACGTCTTATTTATTTATCAACAATAGAATGGGCAGTGATTGTATATGTCATAGATAAAGGTATAAATCCAGTTATGACTCAGGACTTGGTGACCTGTAAGGAAATTCAGCTTGCCGTTTCGATGTTGATGGTACTCTATCTTTATATTCCAGATCTTATCATTTTATCATTTGCTAAACATTTGTGTTATGGTCCCAATTTAAATTTATAGTCCAAATTTAAATTAATAGTAATTAGTTAGTAAATACAGGGACCTATATACTAACTAGTATATAGGTCCCTGGTAAATACTACTTTATCTAAACCTGTGAGACATTTTTCAAGTTCAAACAGACGATTTTCATTCATTCGAAGGCTTTTATTTGCCGTAAATACATCTTTAATGACTATATCTGAAGGATATTAATGTTTTCACTTTTACATAAACTCTAATGTATATTTTTCTTATTAAAGAAAGAAGCCTTGTTTAAGGAATATTTGTGTATTTATATTTGTTAAAGGGACGTGGACACAGTTTCAACTAAAAAAAAGTTTATTTTTCCATTTTTTGTCCCATGTTTACAAATACGTAACTAAGGTGATTATAAAGAAAATTAATTTTTGTTGTTGAGATTCAAGACAAATTTACCGGGTTAGAGCTCCAACCCTTCGTGATGTAAACAGGACCTGTGCCATGTTTTTGTTTACATAGGTTAAATATACTAATGCGGAGTATATGTTCGTTCAAATTTTTCTCGCTAAAGAAGTAATTTCTAAAAATGATTAGACAGTTTCTAGTAAGTGATTTGCTGAATCTCGTTTTGTTATAAATATGATATTTTCTATGCATAAACAAAAGCAAGGAACGAGCCTTGATTACAAATATGAAGAGTTTTAAGTTCTGCGTCTCCGCTTCTGTATCTTTGTATATCAATTAAAACCGATGTTCAAATTTTTGCTGATAATTTGAATTGCCTAATTATAGCAGTTATAAACATTTAAATTGGTTTTAAAAATCAGTTGAATGTGTCCATTTCATTTAATTAATGCAGTTCAGCGCCTCTTTCAGTGAACAAAACTGTTCATTGTATATGTTCCTCTTATTATGGTTCTCGGATTTTCTTTTCAGTTACAATAAAGCTTCGTAGAATTTGGAAGCCCTGAGTTAAAGATCTTCGATTGTTTGATAAGAGATATATTGTTCATATGCCATTTTATAAAATTTTGCAGTAGAAGCTTCAAGGTCTCCTGAAAGTGACTGTGTAAATTTCAATTGTTTAATAAAAATTCGTTTGGAAAATCATTAGCATTGAATAAAAATTTTACATGATGAGCTTGTGTGCTTCATTTTTTTCTATTTGCTCAAACAAAAAAGCAAGAAATACTGAATTGTGCAATCCCTTTAGTAGTAATTATTCAAGAAGACATGAGGCATCTATGCTGTTTCACGTAACCTGCAGGAATGTGCTTTATAAGCTCTTTTTTTCTTTAATTTTTTTCTTTTTGTCACCCTTACAGATTCTTGCATTTCCACAGACACATATAATACATACTAATTCTTTTGGTATTGAGAAATATATTTTTATTTCATTGTGAACAACAGTATACACGTATCATAACAGGAGTTTGGTCAAAGTGAGACAAATCTTTCTAGTACCAGTTTTATTCTCCAATATGACTGTCCTACGCATACTTTTTTTTTACTTCTGTGTTTAGTCTCTTCTTAAAAGTACACCATGCAATCAAATTATGTAGCAGTAAAACATTGTCTCATTTCAGTCTTCAATAAATTCAGTTTGGGGTGTTTGCTAAGATCAGTCTTCACAATCTCAAAGAATTCTCAGTTAAAAATCCATAATATTAAAGAAACCAGAAGTCTCTGTCGAGACTGTAGCTCTACTGGTTTATACTTAAAACAAAGGAAGAGAAAATTAGCAGTTGGGACTTGAAACTTCAAAACAGCAATAAACAGAAAAATGATTCTTGCCACTCATCAAAATAAAAACCAATGCACAGAATTATGTATCTTAGTGTAGTCTACTTGTGTGCCAAGTTATATTGAAATCGGACCAAAACTGTAGGAGGAGTAGCACTTTGAAAGAATTTTACAGAAATTTCTATTTTTAATAACTATGGCAACACTGTTCATCGAAATCAAAAACCGATGCATTTCTATTTTTAGTAACAACGGCAACACCGTTCATTGAAATCAAAAAACGGATGCACAGAATTATGTATCTTAGTGTAGTCTACTTGTGTGCCAAGTTATATTGAAATCGGACCAAAACTGTAGGAGGAGTAGCATTTTGAAAAATTGTTTACAGACAGACAGACAGATGGACGGAAGACGGACGCATTACTATCGCATAAGCTCTTCTGGTCTCTGACCAGTATAGCTAAAAATGATCCTTGCCACTCATCAAAATAAAAACCAATGCACAGAATTATGTAAGTATAGTCTACTTGTGTGCCAAGTTATACTGAAATCGGACCAAAACTGTAGGAGGAGTAGCATTTTGAAAGAATTTCACAGAAATTTCTATTTTTAGTAACCATGTCAACACCGTTCATTGAAATCAAAAACCGATGCACAGAATTATGTATCTTGGTGTAGTCTACTTGTTTGCCAAGTTATATCAAAATCAGACCAAAACTGTAGGAGGAGTAGCATTTTGATACAAGTTCACAGAAATTTCTATTTTTAGTAACCACAGCAACACCGTTCATCGAAATCAAAAACCGATGCACAGAATTATGTATCTTAGTGTAGTCTAGATGTGTGCCAGTTATACTGAAATCGGACCAAATCTGTAGGAGGAGTAGCATTTTGATACAATTTCACAGAAATTTCTATTTTTAGTATTCATGTCAACACCGTTCATTGAAATCAAAAACCGATGCACAGAATTATGTATCTTAGTGTAGTCTACTTGTGTGCCAAGTTATATTGAAATCGGACCAAAACTGTAGGAGGAGTAGCATTTTGAAAGAATTTCACAAAAATTTCTATTTTTAGTAACCACGGCAACACCGTTCATCGAAATCAAAAACCGATGCACAGAATTATGTATCTTAGTGTAGTCTACTTGTGTGCCAAGTTATATTGAAATCGGACCAAAACTGTAGCAGGAGTAGCATTTTGAAAAATTGTTTACAGACAGACAGACAGACGGACGGACGGACGCATTACTATCGCATAAGCTCTTCTGGTCTCTGACCAGTAGAGCTAAATATCAGCATTTAATTAAACATTCGATACTGATACATGACTTGTATATTTTTAATAAACTTGAAGTGTAACCATTGCAACCCAAATTCACAGAAATGAAACCGTAACAAAATTAATTTACTCATTTGGGTGCCTCTGTTGCTTACCTTAGAAATACATGTAGTACATATACTGGTATAGGCTACAGTTGACAAAAAAAGTCACTTCCAATGATTTTAATTGGAGGTTAAAGAGATGTACCGGACACCAAGAGAAATATAGTTCATTAAGTACTCTTTAAACAGTAAAAACTGACAGCATTGCCTTAAAGTTACAAACCATTAACAAAATAAAATAGTTTTACAATCACACATTCTGAGTTTATGAGATTTCCTCTGTATTATCCCCCTCCTCTTCCATTTCTTCATTCTTCTGTGTATCTTCTTCAGTGTTTTCTCTCTCTAAGTCCTTGGAACTTATTTTACTTAGTTTAATATTCTTGACATATTTAATTTCTCCATTCCAGGCCCTGAAGAAAGCTAAGTTTTTGGCATTAAATACGTGTGGCACTTCGAAGGACCCCTCCTCTACCTGCCTCCTCTCTCGTTCAGTGGTCACCTTTATCGCGTTCTCTCTGGCACTGTGGGGATTCCCCTGTCTTTTTCCTACGCTCCTCATAATGTCTATCTGCTCCAGTTCAGAATCAAATCGCTGCAGATATTCACTGACAAGAGGCTCCAAGTCTGATTTTGTAAAAACCTTTTTTTCAGGGTCAAGTCTTTCTTTGAACCAGAGTAATTTTTCTGCAAGGACCTCTAATTTTATGGATGATGCCTGCTTAGAAGTCCGTAACCGTTCCTCACGGTTGGCTTGCCGTGACAAAAATGCAGCTTTTCTGCTGTTAGGGTGGACCACTTTTTCAGCTTTCTCTTTTCCAATCTTAGTTTTAGGAGCTTTCGGCATTTCTGAAATAAACAGAGACAGGAAAATACATATGTACATTGTTCAGAATGTAAATTTTGTTTTACTTCCTAAAGCAATCAATTCCCAGAAAAATTGTACATGGACTGCAATAAATATTTACAACTTTATAAGATATGAAACCCTGAATGTGTTCAGAACTTAATTACTTGGACAGTCTATTAACAAAACACCATAGTGATACCCATCATATACCCAAAATAATAGTCAACAATAGAAGATCCAGGACTTTCATAAAAGGGAGGATTAGGCTAGGGATCTGATGACAGGCAGTGTTGAGAACCACAGCCTTCAGAACTTCCCAGGTTTGGGTCTTTTTTTAGATCATGCAAGTTATTCTAAGCATACTTTTATCAACTAAAAGCAATATCTGACAACAAAAATATATTTATCTTTACTTAAATTTTCAGTCTACCCCTCTCCCCCCTCTTCCCATAAATCCACCAGTTGTTAATGTCAACAGACTACCCCTTGGTCATATATTTTGTTTCCTGAAAGTTCTTGCTATGATTTTTTATGAATATTGCAGCTGATAGCCATCTCAGGTCTGTCATTAAGGTTAGTGCATACCAGGCTTAACTTAAGTAACAGGTTAGACAACTCAATGACCAAAATATACAAATAGGTCATCCTCAATGTGTCATCTTATATTAAATATGACAGTCATCTGATAAATAAGTCGTCAACAACAGATTTTGCTCTTTTACAATGTCCTTATTTTATCAGCTCAGACTAATTTTGCCTCAGCAATGGCCAAATCTGTTTCATTAGATTGTACTTACTTTTTTCTGTGGTAGTTGTACTGCTGTCTAGATCTCTTGTTGATTAGTTATCTTTCTTGTTAACGTTCCGTTCCTTTAATTTCTCCTGGTATATCTGTTCTAACTTTCTATTTTTTTCCTCTGTCTCTGTTTCACTTTTATTTGTGAAATATCTGTATCCTGAAATGCTGAGGTGTGATGCTGGCACTCCGATTAAAAGAGTCAATAACAAGGGATGCTTCCAGTTAATGTGCATACCACTCTGGAAAAACAACCAAGATAAGTCTCTTAGCCAAAAATGCTCATTTCACTTTTAATATACATTCCATCCTATCATTTTGTCAATTAATTAGACATATGGAATATCCAAACCATAGCAAGATTAAATTCATGTGTTAAAAATATAAATTTTTTCATTTATATCATTATTCATTATCCAACTGAAAACAGTGATTAGGTAATATCTAACATGTATGAAGATTTGTTTATTCTGTAAATATACTCAAACAGGCCGGCCCTTGAAACAGTGGATAGGATACATTGTAGGTGTAATTTTTGTAAATTTCATGGTCTTTTTTTACTACATTTGTGGAACCCCCCCCCCCCATTCCCTTAAAAAAAAAACAATGCCACATCCCTGGTATGGCATCTCCAGATTAAAAAATATCCCCAAGGTTCATTAATCAATATTTACATTTCAAAATACTTTTCTTTAAGATTCTTTGCAAATAGAGAGACTGTTCATTTTCTTTTGAACTACCATTGGTGAGCATGAATATCTCAATTGTTATGTCATAAAACTGCACTTGACTTCAAAACTAAAGTGCAAACTGTTTTCTATAACCAGAAGTCTCTGTAGAGACTGTAGCTCTACTGGTTTGTACTTATAACAATGGAAGATAAAAGAAGCCATTGCCATCAGACCAAATCTGTAGGAGGAGTAGCATTTTAAAGGAATTTCACAGAAATTTCTATTTTAGTAACCATGGCAACCCCATTCATCGAAATCAAAAACCGATGCTCTAAAATATGTACCTTAGTGTAGTCTACTTGTGTGCCAAGTTATATTGAAATCAGACCAAATCTGTAGGAGGAGTAGCATTTTAATGGAATTTCACATAAATTTCTATTTTTAGTTACCATGGCAACACCGTACATCAAAATCAAAAACCGATGCACTATATTATGTATCTTAGTGTAGTCTACTTGTGTGCCAAGTTATATTGAAATCAGACCAAATCTGTAGAAGGAGTAGCGTTTTAAAGGAATTTCTCAGGAATTTCTATTTTTAGTTACCATGGCAACAGCGTTCATCGAATCCAAAAACCGATGCACTACATTTAGTATCTTATAAAAGTCTACTTGTGTGCTAAGTTATATTGAAATCAGACCATATCTGTAGGAGGAGTATCGTTTTAAAAGAATTTCACAGAAATTTCTATTTTTAGTTACTAAGGCAACACCGTTCATCGAAATCAAAAACCGATGTACTAAATTATGTATCTTAGTGTAGTCTATTTGTGTGCCAAGTTATTTAAAAATTGTTTCAGTTTGTTGGACAGACAATAGACAGATGGACGGACAAAAATACATAACCCGCGTAAGCGGGTTATGCCAAAAATTTTTTCGCGATATTTCACAATTTTTTCCAGTAACAATAAACAATAAAAGACATTTTATTTTTTATATTCATATTGTTTAAATTATCATTTTATATAAAAATATTATTATTGTGTTATGATGAAAAACAAAACTTTGTACATTTCATTGAAATTTTTATGATATAAATTCAGTACAGGTGATATGCCTAATGTAGTTCATGCAGTGATGAACTTTCGCAATTGTAATTTGAAAGAAATAAAGAAGAAAATATTCAGTGGATGTAAATATATTGAAATAAGACCAAAACTGTAGGAGGAGTAGCATTTTGAAAATTGTTTACATACGGTATATCGATAAAATCGCACATCCCTACAAACGACGGACATCTTACTATCGCATAAGCTCTTCTGGACGCTATAACAAATCTAACTAGCTAAGACACTTTGAAAGGTAAAGGCAACATTACCTGTTTGCACAGAATTGCAAATTTAATGAGATTGCAATTGTTCTTATTGCTAAATGAATTAAACTGAAAAAAAACCCACCAAAATAACAAACAGACAAAATTCTAGCTTGTTCTGTTGATACCGGGTTGTTGAAAATTAGACCATCCTTAAGCCTTAATACTTCTGGTGCCAGATTATTACCAAAATAAACACTAGTTTTTACCTATTTGGCTTTTTGTTTCAGCTTTGATCAAAATATTTCACGTGTTTATCATGTCGGATATGAAGATTGGACTGTGAAATAGTAAATCGATTTGGAACGGCATGAGAAATTCCGGATAGAAAGTCGAAGCTAACAAGACCTTTGCTACTGGTATTAAAAATTAAGTATACAAATCATTATTCATATTAACCGTTCTTTTTAAAAGTCAATAAAAAATTCTGTTATTCAGAAATATATAATAGAAAAATAACAAGATAAAAGGAATTTAGAACAAACTATGAAATATCATCAAACTATATACATGTACATGTAGGTCTAACCAACTGACAAGAACTGAGGAAGAATAAATTTACAATTTAACTCAGCTGTCTTTCTTACCATTTGTAATATGTAAAAGGAAAATCGTTCAGTACAAATGATCCTAATGATTTAGATATGTGTACTGGAGGTATTTAAATGTATGTGAAAACGAATACACGGATTCTTTACAAAGAGTTAACTTGTGATCGATATTTAAATTCCAAGGTTAGATCAAGTCGCTTACACACAAGACAAATTTCTCCCTTATCGAGGTAAGTCAATAAAGCTATACCAGTTTGTTTATTTTGAAAAATTGAAAACATCGTACCTTCTTTTTAACAATTTGAATCAAAATTTAAAATACGACAGAAGAATATAATATATAAAAATCAAAAACATTTTTTTCTGAAGAACAATAAATCTGAAACTCGGTTTCAGTGAATTCATAAATTCATTTTTATCTAATTCAAGATGGCCGACTCTCATTCAAAATACGATGGTGAAAATTCACAAGACGTACACACTCAGTCACTGCCGCAATTAAATTGCAATTAAATCAGGGTTGGAATAAGGACAAGGATCCCACTTTTTACAAATCAGTATTATTTATACTGTTAATATTACTACGAAAATTTATATTGAAAGACTTGTTGCCTCTTCCACGCAGTTAATTTCATTAATGGTAAATTAACAGTATTTAAAATTTTACATTGTCGACATGTACAACATCTCCGCCCCCTTAATTCTTCCTGTGCACCCCCCCCCCTCCGCCTTTCTTCTTTGAAATATCAAATATTTTACAGGTAAGTTGTCATTTTTCTGGCTGGTCCCACTCTCGAAAACGATGCTACCTGTCTGTCTACAAAAAAAAAAATGTTATCGGAACACCGAAAAGTTCTTGATGCCATATGATTTCCATATACGCCGGGAATATTTTTTCATGACATCAACATTTCATAAATATCATTGTTTTGAATGTAGATCTAAAAACAAAGGAGAAACAGAGAATATTAATATTTTGTTTATACATCACAGACACATTTTGTCACCATGATTTGGTTGGTGACGGTGAGCATGCTTCTGACATTCGGGAGTTGCTATGGTTACACTGGTTGTACCGACACCTCGCTGCAGTACCAAGGCTACACGTACACAATAGACCCCACTACTCAGCAGAAAGTCTGGTCCCACTGTGGCTTTCCCAATCCCAGCTTTGACTACGCCCTCTGTGGACTGGCCTTCACCTCAGGGGAACACTTCCTCTGTGACCCGGATGGACTGCTCACGTCACAGAGTGAGTTTATAATAGAAATTGATAAATATACATATATCAAAATGTCAAATATCCAAATAACATGCTTCTTACGATAAAAAAACCGTCCAACTTTTTATTTCCCTTTACTTAATCAAACTGCTCAGAAAAAGCTGTTATAACAAGTACGCCAGTAACTTCAAAATATGACTAAATTAAAATATCTTTTATATATCTTGAGCATACAACATTTTTAAATCAGCTCGATTCGCTTTCGATATTTACAGTTGACGCCATTGATTTGGCCTTACGGAATATTCAAGCGAACACTTCTACTCTGTGCACCAGTGCTGATGGAAGTTCAGAGAGTTTTACCGTGTCAATAGCCCTTATAAATCGAACACGTATTGCAGATTTTTCGTCTGCTAGTTTGTAAGTAATGTATACATTGTTTGATTTATTGTATAATAAGTATATATAAGTAAAAAATCTAATATTTAGAATATATATGTACTCACTAATTCGGTAAAAATTTAAAGTTTTTATGAGCCACTGCAAGGTTTGAGGTTTGTCAGTTGGCCGAGTGCAGAAAAACACAAACTTTTTTAAAACACCATTGGAAAAGAACGAAAAAAATATCCTCCTTTTGATAATAAAATTACTATATGACATTATTTCACTTGTATGTCATATATAATCTGACATTTTTACTCTAATTTACAAACATAATGTATATACCAGGTGTATCAACAATTGTGGAGAGCTACAACCAGGAACCAACCTCACTGCCAGCTCTCTGTCTGACGGTCAGAAGACGGCCATCGCCGAAAACTTCGGTGATTATCTACGGACCGGGTGGCGCTTCGGTTCCTGCGGAAATGACGTCGTAATTTTTTATGCACAGGATTTAAATAAGGTATGTATAAACGTTCTTTTTATTTTTGGATAACATTTATAACATAAATGTATTTATGCTGCAGGCATTTTTTTAAAAAAAAAATCAAACCATTGTTAACACAGGTTCATGTAGCGGTTGGATACAAAGCTACCAGTCTTGTTACATCAGACGTCATTGACTACATCAAAAACACGTTTGTGTCATATAAAAGCAACGGAAAATTAGCGGAAGGTCTTCTCGTCATCGCGGAAAAGCTGCGCATCACGCTGCGCGGTGTAACTCCCGCTCACGTGCTCCTGATTTTAAACATGATCGTGGTCGTTTTGACAGCTGTGTTCCTGGTGTTTTTCCTCCACCTTCGCTCCGTGGAATTCAATGCCTGGGGTCGGGAGGGGCTGTGGAAGATTCCAGAGTACTTTTTCTATTTTATATCTGGAGTATGGATGATAAATGGACTTTTGTATGGCGTTATTTATGTGTCCAACAAAGCACCTTACTGGGCAACCTTCTTTTCTGGTATAATGGGGCTGGCTTTTATCATTTTGTATATATTTGAAGAACAAATATTTGATACATATTCCAACAGCGGATCCTACACACTTAACATTACATCCTAGAGAAATATCGAAGTCCTTTATTTTGTTAATATGTTTTTTTTTAAATTAATAATATAATTTTATTTTTATATTGTAACATTAAACTATATTAATATCAATGATACCTTAAATCTCCATGTATGAAATATGTAAAGTGCACGGAGTTTTATTCATTAATATCATCTAACTTGTCTTTTGACATTTCCTTAATTACGCATACGTTGTTTTTTCTTTATATGCGGGATTATACGAGGGTTGATCCAAAAGTAATGTCACAGTGTCCATATCTTTTATATTTGGCGTCATTTTATCAAATATATATATATATATAATATATATATATATATATATATATATATATATATATATATATATATATATATATATATATATATATATATTGGTATTTGTGATCATAAACATTGTTGTTTTACTCTTTTGAATTAAACAAAGGGATTGTCGAAATGGGGAAAAAAGGCTCGACGAGTTGTAATGCATTTTTGCTTCAAAATATCGGAATCATCAGTAGCGACATTTTCGTTAATCAATTAGACTTACAGAATAAAGAATGTAAATAAGAGATATTAATAGATGGTTTCAGCAATTTTGGGCGGGTGATTGGTCACTGAATGATTAGCAGATGACAAGAAGACCGAAAGATGGGAGATCAGACGGAAACGTTTAATGGTGTCTGACGTTGTCAAAAAGACAGACGTATAGAGTGACATGTGAATTTTTAAGTTTGTCTTAAGCTACTGTACAAACAATTTTGACAGAGGGCTTAATTATGAAAAGAGTGAGTGTATAATGGTACCAAGAATTCTTAAAGAAAGTGGAATTGGTGAAAGTGTTTGCTAATCACGAATATTTTTAATGAAACGAAGGGAAAACGCTTAAAAGTATGACAGTGCGTATCCATCATATGACATTATATTTAGGTGCGGCGACTACCATAAACGCGCATTGTTAAAAATCCGATATTTTGAAAAGTATACATCATATTCCTTTGACTTTTTCAGGTCTTATTTGAAATAAATAAAGCTTCCATCATGTATAATTTTGTTGCTTTACATTGATCTATAGCAATTTTATCAAAGTTGTGACATTACTTTTGGATCAACCCTCGTATATATGGCAAACTTGATAATGTTGCTGTAAGTTCCGTCCATCTTCTACTTGTATGCTTCATTCTTACACCATTCTTATATAAACATGTATAATTGATTATTTTCTGACAACATCATTATTTTTAATTAATTTTACATTGGATGCTGGCCATCCTCTCTTTCTGTATTAGAGATTTTAATTAGTGAATAAAAAGTAAAAATGAAATAAAATTTCTGCTTTTTTGTACCATAAAAAAATTAAAAGTAATATTCCCCGTTATAAACGCTTGAATCATCAGACCAATAATCCAGTTTATTGATGGATATTGTTTGACTGATGATGCTATGGGTTATATTATAATAAAGAGTCACAAAGTGATGTACCATCGACCCGTATTTACCATTAGGACAAAGGGAAAACTAGTAGAAATGATAAAACCCTAGGATGTTGGTGCTGAAGATACAAAATACCCCATTTCTTATGGGCTTTTATGCAAAAAGTAAGTGACACATTTATGAAAATAGTAGACATAACTATATACACTTTAATAATTTATGTCTAATCAAAATAATTGATATACATGCAATTTTTACAAAATGTGACTTCAACACTATTTATCACCAAAAACGTAATTTAAACATTTTATATACATATTATTTTAGTATATGTTTCCTTAGTATATTAAAAAAACTATTTCCGACCAATCTAATTCAGAAACTCGCATTTGAACATGATTTAAAATTAAATAGACCTAACTTCATTTTTTTTTCTTTATTTGACTACCATATTTTATCATATGCCTAATGTGATTAATGTTGAAAAATCAAAATCATAATTAATGGAGGGATTAAAATTACCGAGAGTAACATTTTTAAAATAATTTTATCATAGGCCATAAGATTCATTCCCTAAAACGACGACGGTGTTTTTCTGATGTGTAATTAAGTAAAAAAAAAAATCTGTTCAACTATATTTGCATTTGTGATGGTAAAAAACCCCCACTTTTTTGACTTGTAAAAGGTATATTACAGAGATATAAATAAGATTCTGTAAAGTCGAAATATGGTTGATTTATCTGTTTTATGTGCCTGGAAATTGACCAACTCGCTAACAAGACAAGAAAAGCCATACTAACAAGATAAGAAAAGCCAAGACATTATTTCCATAGATTCATGTGAAGAATTGTATCCCAAGACAACTGAGAGACATTAATTGTTAATTTCCTGCAAAAGAAATGCACTGTTATCTATAAAATTAAATAGATGTAAATGGAATCTATTCTCATTTAATGGAATAAATCTATTTGCAGCATGTTCACGAAATGCAGATCGGTTACAACTCTTTTTTTTGGAAAAGTACCAGAAAGAAAGTACATTTAGCAGCAAAAATGAACCTATAATATTAACTTTATAAAGAATCGAAATTTTAAAAAAAGAGCTAAACAATATCTTAAGAAGGAGAATATATAATTATTCTCCTGTGATATCCGACTTGTAATTGGTAACAGGAAAACGATCTCTAGGGTTCTATCAGCAATTCAAATTCAGAAAGTGTTAATTTGAAAACTGAGTTGTTGCTGCCCATAGTCATCTCAAACTCCCCTGGGTTTGACAACAAGCACATTGCACATTTGTGAAAATCTTAACAGTTCCAGCTGTAGACAGTCACTATCAAGTTAATTCCCGTTTACAGACATGGGATATTCAGACAGTTAGTTCAGGAAGGTCTTACATTTAGTTTTGTAAGGAGAGAATTTTAGAAGAAAGACAATTGTCATGCTATTTTATATCTGTATGCTGAAAGAAATAAGAAATGATCGACTCGATTTAAAATAATGTAGATACATTTATATTTTTTTTAACTCTCATTAAGTTGTTGTTGCACTGAAATCGAAATTTAAACAAAATATCAAAGAATCAAGCTCTAGATTTGGATGTATTTTTAGCATTGTCTTAGAATCTCAATCGAAAGCTTCCAATCGTCACTAATGCAGAATACACATTTATTGTTATAGAATATTTGGGGGGAAAGTCGATTAAAGCTGAACTGAAACATACCATAGTGTCACATTTTTTTGGTTAATCCCTGGTGCATTGTATCTGGTCTAGATTGTTATGTTTTATTGTGTCAACCCTGGCTTAGTTCAAATTTCTATGGTCTACTGTATCTATCAGAGTTTGGTCCGCTCGTATCTATCATAGCTTGGTTCAAATGTCTATCCTTTTATCTATCATACTTTGGATCAGATTTCTATGTTCTATTGTGTCTTTTTATTAGAGTTTGGTCCATATTTCTATTGTCTAATGTCTATGCCATAGGCTTGGTCAAGATTTCTTTTTCTATGCTATATATCAGGGCTTGGTTTAGATTGTTATGGTCTATTGTCAATCAAAGCTTGTTCCAGTTATAGAATTAAGAAATCTAAACCAATTAATGGTAGACATACACATAATATACAATAAAAATCTGAACCAAGCTATGATAGACAGAATACACCTTATAAGGTTCTAATTAGAACTAAGCTTTTATACACACAATAGATCACAAAACGCGGGTCTAAGCTTTGATAGATACAAAAGAACATAGAATATTTTATAGCATATTGTATCCATCAGAGCTTGATCCAGCTTCTATATTCTGAAATCGATATATCAGCCCGAGCTTAGTTTAGGTGTCTATGATCCACTAGTACTGTAATTATTGGATCAGAGTTCTATGGTCTACTGTATCTATCAGATTTCTATGGTCTACTGTATGAAACATATGGAGAGAACGAACAGTATTCAAGATCAAAAGTCCATAAAACAATACAAAATAGGAGCAGAGCAAAACGGGCCTCTAAAACATCAGAAGACGGATCAGGTGCCATGGAGGAGTGAGCATCCCCTGCCGACCGGTCACACCTGCCGTGTGCTCCATGTCATGATTGGGAAATAGCTGAAAAAAACCACGGTCTTCAATTCAGTGTATAAATAATGGACTAACAATGGGTATGAAAAACGTCTGTCAGCATTTCACTCAATGATAAATTGTTCTTATTGACAAGGTCATTGTATCGAACATGGAAATGATTACCTATAACGAGACTGCTGATATTCTTGTTTCATCAAATTGTTTGTCAATAATTTACCTCCTTTTAGAAATTGTTCATACGTACAGTATGCTCTTGCGTATCGAATTAATTGAGATATATAAACTCCATATGCAGGTGATGAAGTTATATTGCTGCATAAGTAAGTGAAGTTGACGATAGAAAAGTTAAAGTAACCATTAATGTCTTTTTCAAGTAAAATATCCAAGTATGAAAAAGATGTGTCACACTCTGTGGTATCTTTTATCTCAAGCTCCCTGGGATATATCGCATTGACAAAGGAATGAAAATTTCCATCTACAGAGTTCTACGGTCTACTGTATCTCTCATATTTCTATGATCCAATGTATCTATTAGAGCTTGGTTCAGATTTCTACATTATATTGTATCATTCAAAGCTTGGTCCAGATTTTTTTGTCCTGTTGTATCTATCATATTTTATGGTCTACTGTGTTTATCAAAGCTTTGTTCAGGTTTGTGTGGTAACTGTATCTATCAGAATTCTATGGTCTGCTGTTTCTGTCAGAGCTTGGTCCAAATGTCTATGTTCTTTTGTATATATCTACATTATACTAATGTTATTGTGATTTAAATTCAAGACACGTGGTTTAGGTTGATCTATTCAAAGGTTATAGGGTAGAACCAGTTTTATAAATAAAATTGGCAGTAAACATGATATTGCCACAGCCTGATTTTTTTTTTTTTTTTTTTTTTTTTTGAAAACATGTCCTGTAATAAATGTTTTTTGAAAGACTTTCATGATTTTCAACAGAAAAAGGGTGTTGTAAAATCAATATATCTTATGTACTTTTCGGCGCAAATTAGAGTCACTGACCGATTCGCTGGTAAAAAAAAATGTGTTTACTGACAAACCTTTGTTTGCCTTATATGGCTATTGTTATAAATATGCGCAGAGGATCTGACCAACCGCTAAATGAATAGCAACGTTTACACCAAAAACGTGTTTACATTTTACTTCGAACATGTAGTTCAGGTCAATCTACGATCATGTTAATGGACTGCAAAATAAAATGTTTAACGAACAAAATACAAGGATAAGAAACCATGAAAGATGTTACGGGCTTGTTCAGAATACCAGCGCTTCAAGGGTAAGGAAAACGAGCCTCTTATGCATTTAAATGGACAAGACTTTGTTTACGTTATATATCAGGGAATTCACCTGACAATTGTATTCACCGATAGTACAACAAAGGAATTAATACAGACGCAAATCTCTTTCGCAGTATGACTTTCAGAAACCTAGACTTCCGCCGTTTATTTATCAAATGAATTGTTTGTCATTATGAGCATGAAAATAATATTTTTAAAAATGCTTTTCATTTACCATAAGGTTTTCCTTTTTTCAAAATTCCTGATTCGTAGTAACCCATAATTCAGCTGATTGGTCTTTTCATTTGTTAATCTGACACCAAAGAATATAGTCCTGGTTCCCATGCAAAAATTTTTCCAAAAGGAAATTTTAATTCATCTGCAGAAAATTGTATTAAAGAAAATACTTATTTAAATTTGAATGAATGTAAAAGAGATCGATTGATTGAAGTACATTTATACAGACATTATCTGATTCTAGGTTGGTATGAAACGCAACATAACTTTTCTGTTTCAGCCTCCACGTGCTAGTCACTTCCTACCCACATTTCCGTGAATAATTTACCCTATCTCGCTTAAGTCTCGCTAACTCTCGCCAGAGCCACTACCAGAGCTACTCTGAACTCATCGGGTTTTATAATTTGCAAAACACCGAAAAATAAAAGTTTCCGAACACATTAGTAGGGGTGTTTTAATTTGTATCTACACGACCTTAGTTCAGGTTTTCTATCAGAGCTTGGTTGAGATTTCTTTGTTCTTTTGTATCTATCAGAGTTCAATGGTCTACTGTATCTATCAGCGCCTGGTCCAAATTTTTATGGTCGAATTGTATCTTGTCTAATAATGTATCTTTCACAGCTTGGTCTGGATGGTATTTCCTTGTGTCTATCATAGCTTTTCCAAGATTCAAGGGAAATATATAAGACAAAGAATAAAAAGTATGAATTAACATCGACTAAAAACTTTGAATAAAAAGTTTAAGTTTGTGAACGTGCAGAAAAATGTGGCATGTGTCTCTAAATGCCATATCCTGTGCTGGTTTCCTTGTTAGCATTTAAACAATCTTAAAATTTTAAAAATAAAAAAGTCTGCCAAAGAATATATTAGTAGATAATACAAGAATATTAACATTCTTTAAAGTTAACATTTTGCACATTCCATTGTCGATGGAATGAAATTTTGAAATTAATCTATACAGTTAATATACATCTATAAAGGTCGAATGTTGACCCTCACTGCTAAATGGCTCTGTGTCGAGTCTATGGTCTAAATTTGAAACCCTTCAACGGTGTATGGTGTTTCTATATTATAAGTTAAAAAAAATCTCGAACAACCAATTCAATCAATGGAATATTGACAGACATTTTCATATGAATTGTGCAAAACTTATCAGCCTATTATACTCACACCGGTTGCATATAATGACATTTCGATCATGGCCTTGGATTCACGGCGAGTGTGACCGCTGGACAGGGACAGGTGACACTCCCGTGTTATATATAGATCACACCATTGTTTTCAGAGGCCTTTGTTTGATTTGCTCACAATTTCTAATGTTTAATTGAACTTTGCATGGTAACTGCTCTTTAATTTCACATTTTACTATTGGTTATCTAGAAGATGGAATATAGAATTTTTTCACCTGTTCGTTCTCTTTTCTGTGCAAAATCAAACATGTATCAGACTATCAGTCTAAAAGCACCCCAAGATGCACTGAATTTAAGATACTGAAGTTTAAGCCACAACAGAAACCATATCTGGAATGCTACATTAAATGCAAATCAATATCTGAAATGCTACTGAAACTTTAAAATTCTTAGCCATATCTGAAATGCTACTGTTACTTTAAATTCTTATCCATATCCGAAATACTACATTAAATTCTAATCCATATCTATAATAGTTACATTAAATGTCAATCCATATCTGGAATGCTACTGTAAATTAAATGCCAATCCACATCTGAAATAATATGTAACTTTAAATGCTAATCCATATCCGAAATGCTACATTTAATGCTTATCTATATCTGAAATGCTACATTAAATGCTAATTCATATCTTGAATGTTGTATTAAACTTTATTTAATGCCTGAGTGACGCTGGTTTATGACAGATATTAGATTTTTATAACACTCATGGTGCATCCATATATGCTTTAATGAAACAAGCTTTTGCATTTAATGACTTTGTTAGGAAAATTGATTCCGTAATAATAGTGTGCGTCATTGATTTGATTTACATAGCTTTAATCAATTCAGCAGAAAGAAAATTAATTAAAAAAAAGTGAGAGATACGCTTGTGCCAATTAATTCTCTGCATCGTCTCTATTTCAAATGAAATGGATACAATCACCCAATAACCGCAAACAAATGATGATACTCAGGGATTTTGGCACCAAATAATGCCGCCAATACAAATTGTTGGCCAAATCATCAAAAGATTGTTTGTTTACATTGTACATGTATATCAACACGATGGAAAAACACTTCTATCAATTGTTGCGTTTTGTTGTTGAAAGATTACTTCTTAATCAAATTTCTACATATTGCCATTTTGGCATACACTTTTAATTGATATTTAAATTTGGAATTTAAAAAATAATGCGTTCATTTTAATCATTAATGCTTACAGATCTATAACATTTGAATTCAATATACATTGCATTTCTCTGTCTTTGTAAATTGTTGACAAACAAGTTGATGAAACAAGAATATCAGCAGTCTCGTTAAAGTCATCATTTCGTAAGTTCTACGGTTGATATATAATGACCTTGCGATTGTCAGCAAATACAATATTTCATTGAGTCAAATGCTGAAGGACGTTTTATATACTAAATGTTAGTCCATTATTTATATACTGAATTAACAACGGATTTTTCCGTTATTCCCCGATCATGACAAGGAGCACATGGCGGGTGTGACCGGTCGGCATGGGATGCTCACTGTTCCATAACACCTGAACCCACCTATGATGTTTTGGAGGTCCGTCTTTGCTCTGCTCCTATTTTGTACTGTTTTATGGACTTTGATATTGAATACTGTTCGTTATCTCTATATCCTTCATTACACACTGAATTGACGACGGATTTTCCGTTATTTTCCGATCATGACAAGGAGCACACGGCGGGTGTGACCGGTTGGCAGGAGATGCTCACTCCTCCATGGCATCTGATCCCACCTCTGATGTTTTGGAGGTCCGTGTTTGTTCTGCTCCGATTTTTTTTATTATTGTTTTATGGACATTTTTTGTATTGTTTATACGAATTTCCATGTTTCGGAAGAGCTCCTATTTTGTATTGTTTAATGATCGAGTTTCGAATTGTTCGTTATCCATATATTCAACTCCATCTTTTGCATATTCTGTCTGTCGCGATTGTTGTTGTGAAGCAAGTAGATTATTTTCAATTTACAAGTGATTTTCCTGAATTGCGTCACATAATGTCAATCAAAAATTGTAGACAATAGTGTCTGCGACATATTAGTACGGTTTTATGATTTTTACATATATTATGTATAAATATTTACATTTCCAATGTCTGTGTCCGAGATAAAATTACAAAGAGTTAATGTAATTTATTTATATATAAATATACCAGTCTGGTTCATCGATAGGCGCGATTTAAAAAAAAATCACTTTCGGGGTGGGACAAATAGAGACAGAAGCAGGGCTTAGAGGACGTGGTTTTGTGGAATCAAAAGCATGTAAATATAAGGAATAACTGTCAGATTTTTTGATTTCATGACGATGATCAATCGATTGGCTTGCATGATAATTTTATATCACGCAAGCCACTCGATTGATCACATCATGAAATCAAAAAATAAGTTATTCCTTAAATACATTATTGCAACGTCTTTTCGTAAGAAATCATAGAAAGAGTTCTTTTTTTTTTATTTCATGCTGTCAATATCTCTGTTGTTGTTCAGAGTGAAATCTAACACAGTAGATAGATATTCCAGCACTAGATTCCCTGACCACGACTCCGGAACCCCGCCCTCCCAGAATCCACAATGGCCGCCATGTTTGGTGGAAACCAATAGCATATTTGGGTAATAATTGAAAATATCAAAAGGGATATGTTCCTGTTGACACACTGGGTCGTCCCGACTGTTGATACATAACACGGGGATAGCGATGTCATCCACATCTCGGAGGGGATTATTTTTCTCTAGAAAGTCCTCCATGGAGGGATATCCTAATGGATCACAGTAAACTTTCTCCACATACTGCAGTAAATTCCACGAACTAAACGCTGATTGTAGATTAACGGATTTTGTTAAAGCTTTAGAATGACGTAAAAGTATCAGTTTTAGTCCGCATAAAACAACAAATTGATAAAATTTTGGAACGTCTTTTAAATAGTCTTGATCAATTTCATATGGTGGTGATATAAAAGCAGCAGCTTGTAAACGAGTCGACGAACCAAATTCGCCCAAATAAGAAAACAGAACCGTGGAACCTGAACCTACACCGATGGCAGTAATGTTAGCTTTGGGAAACTTACGGTAAATATATATCACACATTGTCTTAAATCAGCTGGATCACCATAACTTTGGAATCTACATGTTGCTAGGTAACTATTTCCATGACCACGCGAATTTATGACAACAACACGGTAACCTTCGACACAGGCCTTTGAACACAAAGTCCGAACACCTCTCTTATCGTCAGCCTGACCCGGAAGTACAATAACAACTGGACTCGTTCGCTTCTGAGGATGATCAGGAAGTCGACACCAATCCAGCGCTACAATGCCTTTATCCGAAAGTTGAAGATATTCTCTATCGTATATCACATTGTTCCTTTGGATAAAAAGTCCCAGAAAACTCTGCATGTGAGCATTCCTGGCCCAAACCGTAGGTCGGAAGGGTTTCTTTAGATTTTTACATTGCCTGATGAGGTATTCATTTAGGCGGGATTCCTTGTAGAAAAGTTTTGGTGTGTTGTCATTCTCAAAGAAATGTTTCAGGACATTATAACACAGATATAGTATAAAACTAATCACTGATATCTCGAAAATCGTACCAAACGTGCATATTCCAGCTGTCACAAGCATGTCGAAGTCTCCCGTTTCAGATCTGCAATAAGGATAGAACTGTCATATTTATTACAGAGAGGTGTTTCATTTCATTGCAAACATTTATGTAAGGGATTATAGAAAATGTAAATATCCGAAGTGAAATATTTAGTGCAGAAATGATATGAATTAATGAGCATTTAAACATCACCTGAAAGTAGTGAATAAAAGTCCCCGGAGTTCAATATAAAACAGACTTAAAGATTTTGTCACACATTGGCCATGTATCTTGTTTTACCTACAAAAGGGGTCGATTTTAACGTCAGAATAGATGTGTCATTGTTGCACAGATAATGAAAACATTGCCTGTCAAAGGCAGACACTCGGAAAGATTGAAACGAAGAATATACGGTGACCGTTCATTTAAGTCATAAGAATCCTCTGCAGATGGACCTCATTTTGTGTAGTGTGACCTTAGATATTTATTCATTTTATAATTCCGCAGAATTGATCATAACAAACCTAATGTCAGGTACGGGAAGGAAACTTACCCCAGTTTGTTGGAGATTTGAAGCAAACATTTCACTTTCGTACTTTATCCTCAATAATAACAACCTTATTTCCTCATTGCACAAGTAGAAGGTTTTGTACTGATTCAATAGAGCGTCGAGACCTACTCAGCGAAATATCAATTTTCCTCCATTGTGTGTAGCCATTCTGTTATAAACACTAAAACAAATTTGCTTTTGTGCACGCTATCCATTGAATGAATTGAATACCGGAAATTACGTGTATTGTTCTATTCCCCAATTCGTAACGAGAATTTAAATTGAATATTGTTTTAGCAGTAACGAAGCCTAATTAATTAATTGCATAACAAAGCAATAAAATGTACGAAGCAAATCTTTACCTGTTCCCCAAACAAATTCGCCTTTGAAACTGTCATCTGAAAATCTGCAAGGAGAATCAAGATACATGTATCCCTAGCTATCTCAAACAAAATTGAACAATAGTTCAAAAGACATTGTCAGAAGGGTGATAGAGATAAAAACTGAACAGGAGGGATACTTTCTGTATAAAATTAATACACAGAACAGAGAACAGAGGGAAATAAGACATCCTCCTATAGATCCTACCTGGGAGTCCTACAGGTACATCCTCAGCTGAGTTTGATGAAATAATATCACATGAATCTGTTTATCGAATGTCACTTTTTACACCGACTGCATGGTACAGTGTATATCAGTCCTCCAGATCTGTGGTTCATTGTGCTGGTATACGACTTTTGTATAATTGGTTTACATGTCCCTCATCCCTCATAAGCGAAGTTTTCTCTGTAAATAAAATACATAGTTCATGAAATGTCAAGAATATATTTATGGTTTTTAAGAGGCAGCTGTACTAACAATTCTATTTTTTAAGTATTATTTGCCGGTTTTGTTTTGTTTTGTTTTTTTCATGGCATCTGAGGACAAATAATAGAAACTCTAGATAAATCAAGAATACATTCAATACTGTTTTTTGGAGAAAACATAAATGGAAATAGAATATTCGCTAACCGAAAAAATGGACCCATTTATATCTTCTTCAAATCACTTTCTTGGACCAAAATAACGATAATGGATGGCCATTTGGAAGTCCTCATGATTTATTATTACTGTTCATGCAGGAAAGCAATATTAAGAAATAATGTCGGAATGTAATTGTAAATAATGCCTTTGATAAATGGAAAGATAGTAGCCTAGTTTTGTGAAAAAGTTACAATTCTACAAAAAGAAAAACATTATAACCCGTGTAGCTAAGGTCCCGTAGCTAACTCCTAATTTAAAAAAAATTGTTTGTATGTTTCTAAGGACCAATAAGTTTATTAATTAATCGTTTTTATTTGAAACGGTTTAGATGGTCTGTGTGGTATTAATTTAATTTTCAGTGAATAACAAAAGCTTTCTACTTGTAAAATGGCGATTTTAATCAGCCCGGTTATAAAATAAATATATTTGAATACGACCTTGACTTGCCTTTAAATGAATTATTATAATTCGAAAAAATTTGATATATATTGACAAACTTATTCAGAATAATGATAAATCATATCATATGAATAAAAGAAACCAAATAAAAGTTTCAAATAAGGGACTTAATTAAATTCGTTGTTTGGCTGTGTCATTCAAAGCATATAACACTCACAAAAGATCACAGACAGCTTCTCTTTAGGAAAATACCACAGGCCTTTGGATCGCTTAAAAAAATTGTGTGTGTAAAAAAAAAATAAGAATTTTTTTTTGATATTTTGAATAAAACTGTAAATAACAAGTTTGATATTTTGAATAAAACCAATAACGAGTTGTAATTTTAGCTATGTGAAAGTGAACACATTTGCTGATCTAACACGAAGTGTTTTGTAAATGAAAAGGGGATTTCTTACAGTACATATAACTAGTTAACTATTACCTTGTGTTTCACCTTACATAACCTTATATCTAATATCTGATGTACTTTAAAAAAAAACGCAATCTGCACCTTATGGAAACTCTAAACACTAACAAAAAGTCTTTTTCGCTTTGGAGAAAAATATATCATATAAAGACGTGCATATTGAAACCATTTAAGTCCTTTTCAACATAGGGTACCTGTTTTAATTCTCAGAGAAAATGTTCAAAGATAATGGTTTATGCGTGAACAGAAAACACTGTTGTTTACTTACATTTGGAAAATAAATGGAAATAATAGAGAGTTTCAGCTACTTATTCTGAATCTGATATAATACTAAACGTATCTTACTTAGTCTACTACAAATTGTGTAATCAACTGTAAATAACCTTTCTTTCTATCCCACTTATTAGGGCAGATCTCTCTAACAGAGATTAATCTAACACGGAGTATTTTGTAAATGAATAGGGCATTTCTTACCGTACATATGACTAGTTAAATATTACCTTGTGTTTCACTTTACATAACCTAGCTTGTATTTAATATCTGATTTACTTTTTTTAAAAAAAAACACGCAATCTACAACTTAAGGAAACTCTAAACACTAATAAAACGTGCTTTTTGACTTTGGAGAAAAATATATCACATAAAGATGTGCATATTGAAACTATTTAAGTCCTTTTCATCATAGGGTACCTGCCTTACAGTTCTGCAGGAAAAATGTTCACAGATAATGGTCATTGGGGGTCAGATTTCTATGGGTTTCATTTTTTTTCAAGTGAAAGAGAGAGAGAAATAAGGGGGATAAAACGTTTCCCGAGAATAAGTATTTGTACGTCTAACTTAAATATGTTGTCAAAAAATGATTCTCACACATTTAGTTTTTCCATTCACCATACTTTTACTTTTTATACATTGAAATTTAACTTTTTTATATATCTTATATATGAAATTGTAACATGCGAGGTTAAATTTGATATTAGATTATATTTAATTTGGCTGTGTTGGCTATATAGAAGAAGGTGCCATTTTTTAACTAAATCTTATGAAGGAACTAAAATTTAATTCATTGTTTTATACCCAACCCAAAAAGGATTTTCAAATTCTTGAGAGAAAATTCATTCTACTCGCTCGGAAATGCTGCAAATCCATTCAATTATAAGGCTTCAGTAGAGTTTTTTAAATGTGTTGATTTTTTTTTATACGCGTACTGGGGGTACTTTTCGGAGAGAAAAAAGGACGTAGAACAAAGATATTATTTTCCACAATCTTATAGAGAATGTGTGTGTGAATCTTTGCCTGAGTGTGTCCGCGTAGAGGGACACAAATCGGAACCCCCCCTTTCAAAGAAACAACATCGCTCCGACACGCATATGGTTATGCATGAACAGAAAAACACTGTTGTTTACTTACTGCTTACATTGAGAAAATGAATGGAAATAATGAATTCATTTAATTAATCTGGGTCTAATATGATGCTAAGCATACTTAGGCCCACTAAAAATTGTGTAATGAACTGTAAATAACCTTTTTTTCTATTTCACTTCTTAGGGAAGATCTCTCTACCAGCATAAAACTACCCTACAATTAGAACTCTTTAGTGTGCAGAGATTAGAGCTTCCTTAACCTCTCTGATTGATTTCCATTCATTTGTTTTAAAAAAGAATCCAACATACATCTATAGAAAATGAACTGTGTGTTATACAATATATGTATATATACGTAAAAGAAGCATATTGCACATTACCAATTCGCTGTTGCTAGTATTAAGGAGTGGCGTTGGGAGGTAGATACTTTTCTCCCTCCCCAACAGACATTTGACTGTATTAAAAAAATTTTCAGCCAGGAAATGCAATGGCAATATGTTTATCTATCACATGATTTTGAGGGTGTTTTTATAATTTAATAATACATATATAGTTAAAAGAAGCGGGGAAGATTTCTGTTGGTTTCATTTTTTCAACGAGAAAGGAGCCGTATAGATTTACCTGTCTAGAAGGGTTTTCTAAGGAAAAAATGACACTATTTGTAGCAGAATATTGACCATGGGTCATTTTGCTAGGTAAAAATCTAACTCTTTGTTCAACAAACGGAAATTAAAAAAATACGAGTGGTTAAAAAATTACATACATACTGAAGTAATGCTGCATACTGAAGTAAAGCTATCGGTAGACTATCGCTCTGAGCCGCGTGCTACAAATCATAGAGAAACAGCATCGCTCCACTTTCTACAAAAACATCGCTCCACCCATACAAATTTTCAGCATGTAATTTTAGAGAAACAGCATTCCAAGCCAATACTACAAATCAGAGACAAGCAGCATCGCTCCAAGCCGCATACTACAAATTAGAGAGAGAAAAGCATCACTCCAACCCGCTTACTACAAATCAGAGAGAGACAGCATCGCTCCCAGCCGCGTACAAAAAATCAGAGAGAAACAACATCGCTCCAAGCCGCGTACAACAAATCAGAGAGAAACATCATCTCTCCGAGCTGCGTACTACAAATCAGAGAGAAACAGCATCGCTCCAAGCAGCGTACTACAAATCAGAGAGAAACATGCATCGCTCCTAGCCGCGTACTACAAATCAGAGAGAAACAGCATGACTCCAAGCCGCGTACTTTAAATCAGAGAGAAAGAGCCACGTACTACAAATCAGAGAGAAACAGCATCGCTCCGAGCCGCAAACTGTAAATCAGAGAGAAAGAGCATCACTCCAAGCCGCGTCTACAAATCAGAGAGAAACAGCCTCACTAATTAGCAGTCGCCTTCACAACGAAATAATGAAGAGTTTAATGAGATTTTTAAACACAATAAAAAACTGGGCTTCCTACTATGCTCGCCTAGAGTACTACAACTTCATATGTAGAGTTCAAGGATCTCCTAGTACAAGTATCAAACACTCTAATGTTCTCCCCCCTACGAAACATCAAATGTTGACAATGGCCAAAGACAAGGGGTTGGTTTAGTATGTTTTCAGTAATATTGAAGACACAATGCTATGATAGCGTAATTTTCCACGTCGAAGAGGAAACTAATAACTTTGAATTATTCAGAATACAAAGAGATATACAACTATAATGAACAGTTTACACAAGGGAGTTGTCTCACACAGAAGGAATGAAAATATAGGCCTAATTCGTCAGGAAATAATGAACACACAGAATAAGCCAAAAAAAACATCCAACGTCCCAGGGATTAAAAAAAACAGTATGTATCTACTTAACGATATTACAACTTCAGTTCAAATGAGTTTTGTTTATTCTGATCAAACTTAAAACCAAGAAAAAAAATACAAAGTATAAACTTAATTTTTTTTTAAAGTTATGAAAAATATCTTCATCTTCCAGAGATACATGTACACTGTAAAACAATTCTCCTCAATAAGAATGGGCAATACCAGAACATGCTAACATACATGTATTAAGTGGACATCCTTTGCCTTATATTTAATAAATTTTATCCTCAATTTTCATGTGGATATTTTTAAACCTTTTAATGAATTCGTCAAATCATCTATTATGACAAAAATGAACGAAACTCAACTTGAATACTAGTAAATTTAGGAATAAATGCATACTAGTATTTTAATTGTATATAATTTAATTCTGGTTGTAACACACTTATTGATTGGCTGAAAAATTTGGTTTATATTTTGTAACCTGTGTCGCCGACCTACGTCAAACACGTACAATTTAATTGTGATATTTTAGGTGAAATTTGGCTGTTTATCTACAGTTAATAATCTACCCAATTTATACGGTATAACCTGGGTTGGAACAGTTTTCGCTTGTAAACTCGAAGCGGTTTATACAGCATAAACTTTTCCAACCCAGATTATACTATATAACTAAGGTTATTATGTTCCCCAAACGAAGTTGGGGAACATATTGTTTTTACTCTGTTTCTTATTATTATTATTTTTCTTCTTCCTGGGCACTTTTTTGTCCGCGAATGATCTCGTAAACTAAACATCCAGCTAAGGTGAAATGATTCTAGGGTCAGTAGACATGTTATGTAGATTTGCGGAACGAAGGTCATTTTGCGCGCACGTGCTTGCAAGAGCGCGCACGTGCAACACGTGAAATGACCAATATAATGTATATTGCCGTAACTTTTCTTTTTTTTTGATGAAATGTTTTGAAACTCATAATGTAAGGATACATATAAGTAGTATAAACAAGATGACATGGTCAATATGGCAAGATCTCACGCGCATGCACGTGCGCTACGCTCTGATTGGCTGAAACTAAAGTCTCAATATCTTTCTTGTTTTTTTACGAAATCCTTTGAAATTTTGAACATAGCCATGCATTTGGATATCCTACAAAATGATATATAGCAATTTTCATGAAAACACGTGCATGCACGTGCGCTGCAATCTGATTGGCTGAAATTTGAAATAGCTTTAACTCCCTTGGTTTTCAACCAAACAGGATGGTATTTAGAACATAGAAATATATAATGGACTTCTACAAGAAGGTATGGTTACCATGCACATGCATACACGTGCGTGTACGAATGCTGCAATCTGATTGGCTGAAATTTTAAACAGCTATAACTCCCTTCGTTTTTAACCAAACGGGATGGGATTTAGAACACAGATAGATGTAATGGACTTCTACAAGAAGGTATGGTTACCATATTCATGTATGCACGTGCGTGCACGTGAAATGGGTAAAATCAAAAATACACTTGAATGAGCGTTTTTTAATACTTTTGGATTAAATACTTTAATATATAGCTTATTTAAATATATAGAATGTGTAGAGAATATGATATGGTCATTATGCACATGCATTCACATGCACAAGAGTGCAAAGATAAAATCTGAATGAACATGGTACACTTCTAGGTAAACGTTGTTAAAGTCTCAAATGCATAAAGTTTGTCTTATTTTATTACGCTTACAGGGAATATGACTATATTGGGGTCGTTTGGGTACATCTGTAACGGTCCCCGTTACAATTAGCACTAGTTTTTTATTAATTAAAAAAAAATCTTTCAAAGTTATAAGATAAAACAAAATAAATAACATCTGATAACTGAATTTTAGACTGTATACATGTTAAAGCATTGTAGCCTGACGATAATCAGCGTACTTATAGTAGTTTAATCACGTCACTACTTAATTATTAGTAGTATACTTTAGTTCTCATAATCAAATTCACGGACATTTCTCTCAATAATCAATGAGTTTTACTGCTACAATAAATATTGTCTGGGTACCAAATTAGTCCTGGGTCATAGTGAAATATATATGTAATAGAAAATGGTTCCCCAACTGTTAATTTAATAGCATCATTAATATTGTTCTTCAAAGATTTGGTAATACATGTATAATTAACTGAACAAGATTTTCAAAATTTTCCTTGACTATTTTGTGGTGAAAAACACTTCTTCACAGACACCCCCCCCCAAAAAAAAAATGAAAGAAAGGCATTGCATAAAAATACTCTAATAGGTTTTAGCTCAAATTACTTTCACAAGCTTAATTTAATAGACAAATTGTACGAATTGTCCGTCCATCTGAATTATTTTTATGCATTAATTTTCCGTCCTATATGACTCTCAATAACTTACCTTGTTAATGTGTAGTTCATTTTTTTTTCTGGCGGCTTAACCAGTTATCTGTTGTCTATATACAATCGATTATACTGCACCAGACGTAGAGGAGTGAGGCAGACTTTTTATATGTATTTATACCAGTTGTACTTCAGTGAAGACTTACTCATAATATCGTAAATCATTGACCCGATCACACTTCTAGTCTTATTCTGAGGACATTTCTACATTCTGATTAGTAAACAAAACTTAACTTGAAAAGTTCTACCATCAATCTTATTTTTCGTATCCATTAAATTTTCGGGGCAATGATCTATTTATAAGGTAGTCAATATTGTCAAGTGTACAAATTCTCATTGACAGAAGTATTTAAACTCAATTTGTGGAAAATTAAAACATTTTTTTGTACACGCATTTCATTTTCTTTTAAATTCAAGGCTAAGTAGCACATTACATTTTTCTTTTAAAATTTAAATATCATTTCATATATACATGTATATACATTTATACAATTTCGGTACATGTATATGTATCCCTCTTACGAAAGAAGTGACATCTTTTCAGTTGAGCAACCTAAGCAGAATAAGAAATTTAATATGAAAAGGCTTCGAATATATAAATACCAAGTTTTCTAACTGTACTTTTATAGCGTTTTTGAACATTATTTAGAATTTATATATTAACATTTCACGCTTTTAAAACATCTTTCCTAATTAGATTTCAATTGAAAGAATTTTTGTGAGAGATATGAAAAATTATATAATATTAAATCGCTCGATGAATAAGCCGTGCCTGCCGAGTATATACCAGATGAGGCTACATTTAGTATCGACATATACATTCAGTAAATGACTTCCTCCCAGCTACTGCAATCAGATATACTTTATGTTTTATGTTTATCTATTAAATAATTGCAATGTTTTCCGGCTCACGGAGGTTCACACAGAAAATTGCCCATTCTCCACCAACTATGTCTTTTGTATGAAATGTTAACCAGAGTTCGTTCTTTAAAGTTTGTTTATTAAATATTATTTAGAAGATATAAATTAGTTTGAATAACACTGACACAGGAACATTGAACCCTTGGTTAATCTCATGAATCTATTATACCTAAGCAATTCAGACCATAAAACCTTCACTTCAAAACGTAGCAGACCTGATAAAAACCCATTCTGGTAGAGCTTTGCTTACCTGCGTGTTTTGACTTGATTCATATGTATCTGTATACAACTGCTTGTACCCTCAGAAGAGCTGAATGAACTGTTATGTCATCTGTATTAATCTTGTAATCCACTTTACGTACGGCGGAACTCACATTGCGACAGATGGGTTTACAACCGTACATATGGAGTGATTCACATGCTCAGACTGCGTAATTGTCAAACTTCTATCAGAGAAATCATGGACAAGCAGCATCCTGTATTTAAGTACAATTTGAGCCTCTGCATTATTATTATTTACTCTTTGTATCCAGATATAATGTACAGTTATATTTTTATTATGTACGTCTGATGTTAAGAAATTCAGGCAGGATTATGCAGATAATTATTTAAAACAATGATATTTTCATACAGGAAAAGCCTATAAAATAACATATTGAAACTATGGGTTGTGTAAATGCTTAAACAAAGTGCAAATCTTTAACAAGTCTATATGTACAACTCTAACAACTCTAAGTGTACATCTCTGATAAGTTTTAGTGTACATCTCTGTCAAGTCTAAGTGAGCATCTCTTAGTCTTAGTATACATCTCTAACAACCCAAAGTGTACATCTCTAACAAGTCTAAGTGTACATTTCTAACAAGTCTAAGTGTACATCTCTAACAAGTCTAAGTGTACATATCTAACAAGTCTTATAGTGTAAATCTCTTACATGTCCAAGTGTACATCTCAAACATGTCTAAATACAGACAGTTTTTAAACATTATTTTAGATATTGCTCAATAAGGTATAATGTATTTATACATCCAATTTTAAAATTATATGTCATTGGAAAAACTATTTCAATCTTTTAAAAAAGTATTTACATTGCATAAGACTTCAATTTTACAATATTGCATTACATAAGGCTTCAATTGCAAAGTATTATCTTGCATAAGACTTAAATAATTGTACATTTATAGAATGCACAATACTTCAATTGTACAGTTTTACATTACATAAGACTTCAGTTGTACAGTATTACATTGCATAATACTTCAGTTGTATTGTATTACATTGCATAAGACTTAAATTGTAAAGTTATAAATGACATAACAGAGCGTATATAACGAATATATTCTTGTAGAATTTTATCACATCATGCTTAACATAGTATCGTGGAATGCCCAATTTTATCATTATTCTTATTAGTATAATAATCTTTATACTTGTTTGATATTTCTTATGATACGACGGAATTCTGCAATAAAATTTACTCATTGATATATGTAATCCGGACAAGTTATATAGGCGAACTACATACAAAGTCCGTAATATGTTGGTAAAACAGATGGAAATATACCGGTATATAATATATGCAGAAAATGGTTTAAAAAATACTTTAAAGTTTGTTTCAGATTCTTTGCCACAGATAGTCAGATTGTATGTTACTGGTAGTCAGATTGCGTCTGTTACTGGTAGTCAGATTGTGTCTGTAACTGGTAGTCAGATTGTGTGTGTTACTGGTAGTCAGATTGTGTCTGTAACTGGTAGTCAGATTGTGTGTGTTACTGGTAGTCAGATTGTTGGGTTACTGGTAGTCAGATTGTGTGTGTTTAATGGTAGTCAGATTGCGTCTGTTACTGATAGTCAGATTGTGTTACTAGTAGTCAGATTGTGTGAGTTACTGATTGTCAGATTTTGTGTTTACTGGTAGTCAGATTGTGTGTGTTACTGGTAGTCAGATTGTGTGTGTTACTGGTAGTCAGATTGTGTCTGTAACTGGAAGTCAGATTGTGTGTGTTACTGGCAGTCAGATTGTGTGAGTTACTGGTAGTCAGATTGTGTGAGTTACTGGTAGTCAGATTGTATGTGTTACTGGTAGTCAGATTGTGTGTGTTTACTGGTAGTCAGATTGTGTGAGTTACTGATTGTCAGATTTTGTGTTTACTGGTAGTCAGATTGTGTGTGTTACTGGTAGTCAGATTGTGTGTGTTACTGGTAGTCAGATTGAGTCTGTAACTGGAAGTCAGATTGTGTGTGTTACTGGTAGTCAGATTGTGTGAGTTACTGGTAGTCAGATTGTGTGAGTTACAGGTAGTCAGATTGTATGTGTTACTGGTAGTCAGATTGTGTGTGTTTAATGGTAGTCGGATTGTGTGTTACTGGTAGTCAGATTGTGTATGTTACTGGTAGTCAGATTGTGTCTGTTACTGGTAGTCAGATTCTGTCTGTTACTGGTAGTCAGATTGTGTGTGTTACTGGTAGTCAGGTTGTGTGTGTTTACTGGTAGTCAGATTGCGTCTGTTACTGATAGTCAGATTGTATGTTTACTGGTAGTTCAGATTGTGTGTGTTACTGGTAGTCAGATTGTGTGTTACTAGTAGTCAGATTGTGTGTTACTGGTAGTCAGATTGTGTGTGTTACTGGTAGTCAGATTGTGTGTGTTACTGGTAGTCAGATTCTATGTTACTGGTAGATAGATTGTGTGTGTTACTGGTAGTAAGATTGTGTCTGTTACTGGTAGTCAGATTGTGTGTGTTACTGGTAGTAAGATTGTGTCTGTTACTGGTAGTCAAATTGTGTGTGTTACTGGTAGTCAGATTGTGTGTTTCTGGTAGTCAGATTGTTTCTGTTACTGGTAGTCAGGTTTTATCTGTTACTGGTAGTCAGATTGTCTGTTACTGGCAGTCAGATTGTATGTTACTGGTAGACAGATTGTGTGTGTTACTGGTAGTCAGATTATGTCTGTTACTGGTAGTCAGATTGTGTGTTACTGGTAGTCAGATTGTGTGTGTTACTGGTAGTCAGATTGTCTGTTACTGGTAGTCAGATTGTACGAGGGGTGATCAAAAAGTTCGCAAACTATCTGTATATATACAAAACCACAATTCAGATTAGAATGAAATTCGGTACGCGCATAGCCATACACAAGGTCTATAAATAGCATATGCTGAATAAAGTTTCTCTCCTTGTTTGTGACGTCACAATGTGAAAATGACGTCACTATTTAGGTCACTTGTGACGAAAAATGGTTGTCTCAGTCGAACTCGTTCACCAAACGACTGTATAATTTATTGTAATATCTTAGAAATACCTCTACAGTATCATATAATAATTTGTACACAGTTTATTGAGATAAATGAGTTCCTATAAATTCAATTAATGATTGGATTAATCGTTTTAGTGAAGGAAGGCTGATGGTTAAAAATGATGCTTGTCATCTTGCCCAGTGAAAGCAAGTTTGAAAAGATATGTATTTTTAATTAAGCAATTTGCTATCAAAGACCTCCAATTAGCACTTTGAAAAATAGTTGAATATTTGAACAATGATATAAATATTAAATACCTAAGATATCATTTACTTTAGATTTTAAACATATTAGATATGATAAAAAGGATGCACCCATTCTCTATCCACCTTGAATAAAGGTCTCTCCTGAGACAGAAGATTTGTGTTTTAATGGTCGCCATAATTATTTTTGGCAAGGATGTTATTATCCACCCATTCTGTTGCCGAGATATGACCATTTCTGACAAATTGACTGTTCTTGTCATAAAAATTAACTCACATGGAAAGAAATATCAAACGCGGAAAAATCTTTTAACTTTTGTGACAGAACACTACGGAGGGGGTCACGTGACCGCCAATATCACGTGATTAGCGCATGCGCAGAACGGTGGTTGATGTGCATTAAAATCGGGGAGGATTAATTTAAAATATAATCAACATTAAAACCGAATATTGTTTCTTGTATCGAAGTTATTCAATTAGTTTGCGAACTTTTTGATCACCCCCCGTATGTTACTGGTAGTCAGATTGTGTCTGTTACTGGTAGTCAGATTGTGTGTTACTGGTAGTTAAATTGTGTGTGTTACTGGTAGTCAGATTGTGTGTTACTGGTAGTCAGATTCTGTCTGTTACTGATAGTCAGGTTTTATCTGTTACTGGAAGTCAGATTGTCTGTTACTGGTAGTCAGATTGTATGTTACTGGTAGACAGATTGTGTGTGCTACTGGTAGTCAGATTGTGTGAGTTACTGGTAGTCAGATTGTGTGTGTTACTGGTAGTCAGATTGTGTGGTGTTACTGATAGTCAGATTGTATGTGTTTACTGGTAGTCAGATTGCATCTGTTACTGGTAGTCAGATTGTGTTACTTGTAGTCGGATTGTGTGTTACTGGTAGTCAGATTGTACGTTACCGGTAGTCAGATTGTGTGTTTACTGGTAATCAGATTGTGTCTGTTATTGATAGTCAGATTGTGTCTGTTACTGATCGTCAGATTGCGTCTGTTACCGGTCGTCAGATTGTGTCTGTTACTAGTCGTCAGATTGCGTCTGTTACTGGTCGTCAGATTGCGTCTGTTACTGGTAGTCATATTGCGTCTGTTACTGGTAGTCAGATTGTGTCTGTTACTGGTAGGTAGATTGTGTGTGTAACTGGTAGTCAGATTGTGTGTGTTTCCTGGTAGTCAGATTGCGTCTGTTACTGATAGTCAGATTGTGTGTTTAATGGTAGTCAGATTGTGTCTGTTACTGGTAGTCAGATTGCGTCTGTTACTGGTCGTCAAATTGTGTCTGTTATTCGTAGTCAGATTGTGTGTTACTGGTAGTCAGATTGTGTCTGTTACTGGTCTTCAGATTGTGTCTGTTACTGGTAGTCAGATTGCGTCTGTTACTGGTAGTCAGATGGTGTGTGTTACTGGTATTCAGATTGTGTGTTACTGGTAGTCAGATTGTGTGTTACTGGTACTCAGATTGTATGTTACTGGTAGTCAGATTGTGTGTTACTAGTAGTCAGATTGTGTCTGTTTCTGGTAGTCATGTTTTATCTGTTACTGGTAGTCAGATTGTGTGTGTTACTGATAGTCAGATTGTCTGGGTTTACTGGTAGTTAGATTGTATATGTTTACTTGTAGTCAGATTGTGTGTGTTACTGGTTGTCAGATTGTGTGTGTTACTGGTAGACAGATTGTATGTGTTACTGGTAGTCATATTGTGTGTGTTTACTGCTAGTGAGAGAGTGTTTTACTGGTAGTCATATTGCGTGTGTTACTGGTAGTCAAATTGTCTGGGTTTACTGGTAGTTAGATTGTATGTGTTTACTTGTAGTCAGATTGTGTGTGTTACTGGTAGTCAGATTGTGTGTGTTACTGGTAGACAGATTGTATGTGTTACTGGTAGTCATATTGTGTGTGTTTACTGGTAGTCAGAGTGTGT